AGTGATAATCACAAGGCCACTGCCTCACCATAGGTGGTGTGTCTGCACCTACAGAGAGAAGCAGATCCAAAACTGACCAACTAGGTATTCCATCCCACATACGTCATATTCAGCACAAAGCTGAGGGATCACAAGGGTCTTAACCCTTCCATCTTGGAGCCCTTCCTTCCATCTTGACCCCTCCAATGGCCTAAGTCCGAGCAGATGTCTTTTGCTCCTGCCTCTGATCCTGATCCGTGTGTTCCTGCATTCTGCTCCCCCCTGCTGCTGAGTTTGGTCTGGGACTTTTCCAGTGCTCTGCTCCTCAGAGCCTCTGGTGACATAATTGTTGTGGGGGGAGGATTTTATATTGGCTTTGTATATATACTTGTACATATATGTATATGTTTCATTATTTTCCTATTTACAATATTATCCTGTAGTATCAGTATTATTGTTTTATTAAATCTGATAGTTTTATTTTTCAACCTGTAAAGTCTCTCTCCCCTATTCTCTTTTCCATTCTGGGGAGGAGAGAGGGGTTAATAGAGAGCATCTGTTCAGGATTTAGTGGCCAGCCCAGCTCTAAACCATGACACCCTCCTTGAATTTCATAAAGTTTCTCGCCATGTAACATTCCAGCCTGTCCAGGTCAATATACTATGCTTAAATATACTATGCACTCTATACGTGCTGCAATTCCACTAAACTTTTATATCCTGAATAAATACAGATGTTAAATAATCCAAACAGAAATTCTGGACTAAACAGACTTAGTTTATCTTCTGAACACTATAGCATAGTTAAAATTCTTAGTGCTTTAAGAAGTGCATATGCTATTTAGAATTTCCATATTTCCTCATAAAAGCCCTGCTTACCTGTTTAAAAAGAGTAGCCATATCTACAATAATGAGACAAGTATAAGGTTGAGTCCAATCTTGCAAATTCACAAGTAGGTAAGTCTGTTTAACCACAAAGCCACCATGAAGCTCATGTTGGCAGAATCAGGCCCCTAAGTTACTCTGCTTGACAGCAGCTGTAAATACTATGCTCCATTTACATACTATACCCACAACAGCAAGTATTGTTAACACACCTTATCACAGAGCTCTAAGATAGGTACTGACCAAATTCTCACATTGATTTCCACAGGAAAATAACAAAATACAAGGAGAGAGACATAGATAAGAAGATTTCTACATGCTTCAAGTTTAATTTGGTATGCTTGTATGGAACACAAATCTGGTTCAGCAAGAGAAAAGCAGATGTCCACAGTACCAATGAAACACTTTGTAGCTACCAAAACTACCTTTCATTTAAAGCATAAAATATTTTTTTGGCATTTATTAATCAGTGAAAGCACTGATGAAGGTGAAGAAAAAAGGAAACATACATAATACACCAAGATTCTTTTGTTTTCAAGGTGCAAGTTTGTTTCTCCAGCCACACAGCATAGTGAAAGACACAGTGAAGCTGTCAACATCCCTGGTGTTGTTATAACTTGGAAATTCAACAGTGCTAAATGAAGCATGTAGCTCTTCCCAGTGAACCACAACTCTCGTGACTGAGATTGCATGCAACATATGGCCTACCATAGGAGACCTTCCATAGGCAACCACAGCAGCTGCAGCAGCAGCAGCACTCATCTGGGGTGACATATTGTGCAGACTGGCATAGGCTGCCCCTGGGCTGGTTAACTCTCCATTCATGCCAGCATGAGGTACCATTCCAAATGGAGCAGGGTATGGTCCTGGTACTGCCAATGGTGTCCGCAAACCTGCAGCTACGAAATAATGAAATAAAGGAACTTTAGTTATATATTCCTGCATATAGGGAAGAAAACAGCCCCTTTCCCCCCCTGCAATACCTAACCTTCCCCTCTTATACACACAGACTGCCAAGAAACATTGCCATAATTCATCACCATCACTACCTCTTTCCACTGACTGTAAATAACATCTACTGAAGTCTGAACTTGCTGATTACTTCTAACAATCTCTTCCAGGACTACCTATTTTCATTTCTGTAATATTTCCCCTGTTTACATTAATCTCTTCTTTGCCAAATTAAGCATTAAAGCTGACAGACATGGTTTACATAGCTCATGTCTGCAGCAACTGTGCATCACCAGCCTGAATAGCAAAAGTAAACTTCTCCCTGCATTTGTCAAGATTTACACTGCTGCAAATACTAGTAGACTCGGACAAAGAGCTAGAGAATAGATAGAATTCAGAATAAGTACCAGAAACTTCTGAGCAGTCTTTTGCTACTGCATTCAGTCTCTGGATTATTTTCAAAAAATGATAAAGACAAAAGTAAACAAAAAAGGATAAGAGATAGAAACTCTTGATAATCCAAACATCTGCTTCTCATCAAACCCTCTCTCAATACAAGAACAACGCAATACAATTAGTTAACATTTGCACAGAACTACATACATAAAAAAAGATTAATTTTGGAACCATAAAAACACGTAAGGTAACGCATTACCAGCTTGGTTAACCAGAGGGTCCATTGCTGGAGGCTTGCCAAGGCCCGGACGAAGTCCTGGAGTTGCACTAGTGCCTGGGGTTGTCACATCACTTCGAGGAGTTGGTGTGCTGGATTTCAGAACAGGCGTGCTGGCTTTTTCATGCTGGTATCATTAAACAAATTAAATTAGTATTATTTTTAATCCAGGCCATATACAGTTTATCACAACAGCAGCTGGGATGTTGGGCACCTACTACCTAGTCCCTCAGCCAATTTTCATAAATCCATGCAATGCTGACAGTATTAACTTATGAGAGAGAAATGGTGACCTTTTGATTGCTGCCAAAATTTAAATAAGAAAAGAAACGCAGAAAATTGTTTTTCCTTCTTCCACTGGCATGACAAAAAAGATGCCCGAGTAAGTTTTTTTTCAGGACAACACAGTATGCATCATCAAATTATTTTAACTTGAAATCATTACTGTCTCAATTATTATTGGACACCACAAATCTAAGTTAAAAAACAAAGCACCACCATAGCTGATAGTATCAAAAAATTGTGACATAAAAGCTACAGAGAATCTGATCAAATTATTACAGATACTGCAGGAGAAGTTTTTAAAAAGTAACAGCTTATTTAGAAGAGTTTAACAAAAGCCTGGAGAACTTCTTAGTGACTATATATGCTTATACATCTTAAACTATAAGCTATTGCTCAAGAAAAAATAAACAATGCTTAAACAACTCTTGTAGTTTGTATTAAATACACAAGTCATTTGACAGAAATGCAGGAAATACAACAAATTGAAGCAGGAAACATTGCTGAGGTGAAAAGCTAAATAATACCATAAAGGTCCAGAAAAACAGTAGTCTACTTCAGCTTCAAATGTTTAAAGTGATGTACTTTCTGCCACAAGTAGTTGCAAGAAAATGAAGGTAGACTCTACAAGAAGGAACAATATTTGTCTGGATAACACAATGCTACCCACCAGACTAATTTCTTTGGATTTGAGAGAAGTAGAACTTCCTGAAGAGGCTGTAGATGCTGGACTGCTAGAGGCGTCTTTCTTCAGCAAGCGGGTTTTATCTATACCATTTTCACGTGGTGAATGAGTGGGACTAGCCCTTGGGGAGGAAGGATCCTAAAGCAACAGGAAGGGAAAACCAGCACAGAACTGTGTCATGGATTGGTATACAAACATCACTAAGGACTCTATGGGGAAAAACTAGAACAATTTAAGCACTAAGCTCAAATGACAAGAGGTTTTGTTATATCTATAGCAAAAAAGCTGAAATCCCTCCATCAATTCAGAGACATAAGTAAGTTCATGTAAAAAGAAATTTGGTTTTATTTTATACATGTAATCATAAACTTTCCAAGCACGGAGGTTACAATCTAAGTATACCAAAGTACAAACTAAGGCAAGTGCACACAACAGATTATCAGAGCAAGAAAACCAAAGAGTAGCTGCAACAAAAGTTTATACTGTTTTTTCCATGAACGTTCTCCACACACTGCTGGTGACGATAAATATTTTAATAATCTTTTTTACGCCATACAAACCTTCCTTATCTCTGTCTTCAGAAGAACAGATAAAGACGCATGCTTTATATGCCATAATACCTGTCACTTCTTTCTAAATGCCATCTGCAATTGCTTCACTATCTAAATCTATAGGAAAAACTGAAATCACCTCTCAGGTGATTATGCACTCTCTGCATTTACTTTAACCTGAAATAGCCAACCCAGCAAGCTTCAATGCCAACAGAGCTCTGCAGGTTCTCCACGTTCCGTGCTCCCTTGGCTCATAAGAATACCAGCAGGGAAGAAGTAGTCCTCACAAGAGGGCACTAAGTCTACTGATTGACAATTGAGCAGTTTCACTATAAGTAGGGCTTCTGAAAGGATTAGTAAAATCCCTAGTTGGATACCCGTTTTTCTGCTTAGCCGACAACTTTTGGGCACTTGGAGCTGCTGAAGAAACCACTTCTCTGTCAGCTTTTCTTCCTGTGCTTTTCACAGAGCAGCAGAGTCTCACTACCATATTCAGGCTTCCTAAATCTCTTCATTGTATGAAATAAGAAATGAAGGAAAGGGAAGGTCTGTCTCTTCACCTTGATGACACTGCCAAATCCCTGCCCTGGAGGAAAAAAGTGGCTAAAATATCTGGAAAATTTTATGAACTGGCTAACTTCTTTCTGACTTTTGATGACTTCATTCTAAAAAACAAACATTTATGGAAAATGCTGTTTTTAACATAAGAAGTTAAAATATTAGTGATTTTTAATGTACCAAAGTGTTTTAAGTAACACTCCTACTATTAAAATACATGGTTAAGTATTGTCTTCCTTTTTCATTTGAAGACAATAGTTAGAAAACCTCAGCCCTCCATCTGCAACTCACTACAACTCTCTCCACTACAGAGCAGCTGTGAAGTGTCAGAATGTAACCACAGAGAGAACAGACCTGGACAAAGCAGCAGAAAGAAAAGCCAAGAGGACAACCAGATAGAGCTCAAAGGAAGACATAGTAACTGTGGTACTAACAAAAAGGAGATGTTGTGAATATTTTAACATAGCAACATAGAGAGTTCTTTTTCTTCTAGCATTTAAATGCACTTTTCCTTTAATCTTTGGGCAAACATCAAGACTACAAGAATGAAAAAAGTTACCTCATTGGATACATCTACAACCAAGTTATCGTCACTCTTGTCCCCATCACTGTCCTATTAAAAATAAATAAAGTGTTCATTTCAATTAGAATATTAAGAGCCCAGAAAGACTATGCTTCTACTCAGACATTTGTCATTTTCCTGTACAAAAAGCAAACAGCCTTTCATTACTTACTAGCAGTAGGGTAAGCAATGAAAACAGGAACACAACAGGAACACAACACCTTATTTAGTTTTCAATAATAAAACCCAAATAGGGCAGAACTAGTTGAAAGGTATGGGTTTCACCATCAGTGCAAGATGATCCAAAACCCCTCCTTATTACCATCATAGTGTTATCACCACTTCTAAAAGTGAAACTCATTCTGTTCATATGCTGAGCTTATGTGTTAATCTTATTGAATCATTGCTTGTGTATCCCTAAAAAAACAACAGGTCGTAGAAAGAGGGTTTTTTGGCATTTGTTTCATGAATCAAATTCCTCAGAGCAATAGGACAATTTTTATTCTTTTCCAGAAAAGAAAACTTTGAAATTGAAAGTTCTGTGGAAGAAAAAGCTCCAGAAATGCTAAGGCATTTCTACATTTCTGCCTAAAGAAAACGAAAATACTTTGACATTCCCAAACTGAAATGTTTTATTGTGGCTTGTCAAACTGCACTTTGACTGTTTCACATAAATTATGTTCACCTGAGCTGCTCCAGTGCCTCACAATACCTGTTACTCAAGAGTTTCCCGGTCCCTATCTCCAAAATGGGCTGGAATGCCCCATTAGATACATTCTATGATACACACAGTATACCATGGTGGTTCAATCAAAAGGTGGGTTTTGAATTAAAAACAAAAACAAGAACAACAAAAAGATCAAGTGAGTGATAAAACTTAAATTTTTCATGTGGACAAGTCTGACATTTCAAATAGAAATATTTTTAGGTAAAAAGTTTCTAGGCAAAAAAATCAGACATAAAAGACTGGTCAAAGTGTCCCTCATCTCTTGCTTTCAAAGTGTCTGGGCTATTATACTCAACAGTGGCAGACAAAGTAAAACACCAGTTCCTTCCTCTCACTCCAGGCCACAAATGTTTAAAAAAAAAACAACCAAACAAAAAATAAACCAACCAAACAAAAAATTCCTAAAAATCCCCAACGGGTAGTTTAAACTCTTCCTTTCTGCTTTAGCAGCTGAATATTGCTGCAAAAAATACCACAGCCATAGTAGGGACCCAAGAGAGTCATTGAAGACAGAACGGTGGCTCTATTTGCCACTCAGGAAGCTGTCCAACCAAAGGGTGCAAAAGGAGAAGGAATGGAAAAGCTTCAGTCCCAGTTATCTGCTATCTATTGAAATCTGTGAGCCACCCAGAAGGCAAGAATAAGTTAGAAGGCATTTGAGCATGTGAGAGCACAGTAGGTGCTGTCACCAGAAATACCACCCCTAAGGAGGGCAAAAATAGCTACCAAGCAATGATTAAGTGCACTATGCTGACTTTGTCATCTTGAGAAACAAAAATTTACTGGGACTATCAAAGGCATCTCCTTGAGGTAAGATTCAGAAGATTCTCCTCCCTAAGAAACCCGCAGGTTGAAACTATACAGGTCCTGACATGAAAACTACTCAGAAGACAAAAGGAAAAAAAATAAATGCATTTTGCACCTTATTTCTAATAGCAACTACTACAACTTCCTTATCTCCCTTCTGACAAAAGCAGTACTTCCTTGACCCTACAAGGGCCTCATCTAAAATGACCTCAAAAATCAGTAGTTTTGTGTTTGCAGAGTCTCACAACCTTTAAAAGGTCTTCTTCCAGACTAGAGTAAATCTGGAATTTTCAAGCAACCTTGGTTTGCTCAATTCTTTATTTTATCTGTAAAATCCATTTCAAGCAAACAACAAACAAACACATTTAAAATGTGAATTAAAAAACCCTGCTCCTATAGTGCAATAATACCCTTTTCATTTCTTTCCAGTAGAAACACAAGAAAAATTAGCAAGTTAAGCTTTATCTCCTTTTTTTTTAGAAATACAAAATGTAGCTTAAGAATGCTTAATCTTCAAATATTTAAAATTAAAAATTCCCATAAAATATCAAACCCTCAAAGTTGAGGGAATAACATGGGGAAGTTTGCCAAACCCTTCTGTAACCAAAACAAGATTATTAGAAGGTGGTGCAAATGTAACTTGCGAAACCATAACAGTACTACAATACCACAACGTGCAGAAAAGGGGAAAGTAACCCCATCTGCTGTCAGGAGCTCCAGGGATATCCAATAGCTGCTCAGAGATATTCTGGGTCCAAGTGGAGAGAAATTAGCCTACAAAATACTGCAGAAATAATGTGACACTTGATTTTCTGGGTTTCGGTAACCAGGAAGTAATTAGTGATTGGACTCATAAAAACCAGACAATTTGCCACATTATTGCTATGTCAAAGAAAAATACCTTGCTAGATTTAAGTTCTGCTTTTCAGTACTCTTTTATACTAGTCCTACTCTCTAAAGGTTGTTCAATTTGATCATCTTGTGATTTGACTGAGCATTTAGACTTGAAGTTGAAAGCCTATGTGAACCTTTTGAGGTTCATGTATGCCACACTGTTGTACCTCTTCAAAAGTGCCTCTTCAAAACCAAGCAACAAGCAAGCTAGTAAAAAATGCAGAACACAAATTGTGAACTTTTTATATTTCAGTTTGCTTTCTGCTGAAACTGCTATGTCAACCAAAAGCAAACTTTGATTTGGTACAGCCTCATAACATATGTAATTTACAATGGTAATTATTACTCAGTATGGTAACAGCTAGTATCAGGAAAATGCACTACAGCTCCCCACATCAAAAAAACCCTCCATTTCAAACAAACTGGCAGATTTTAGAATAGTCCAGAAAAGATCTCTTGCTGGAACTCTGAGAAATGTCCCAGAATACTTATGAATCCCAAACAGCTACTCTTGGCTCGTTATTGCCTGTTAAGTAGCATCACTTGACAATAGTCCAAGCTGTTCCGTCACTACCCTTCCCACAACATGAATAATAGTCTCTCTGGCACATATATTCACGAACTACATCAGCCACAGGAAACACATTGTCTTGTTCTTCTCAGCTCTTTTACTCCTCATACAAGCACAGTATGTGCAAATAAATTAATCATTTCTTTGACATAGTTTTGCTTACATAGTGGCTGGAATCCTTATCATCCACCTTTCTCTTTTTTATGTCATTGGTATATTCAGGGCCATTTCTGCGTTTATCTGTGCTTCGCAGACTGTCTGGGACCAACAGAGAATTGCTCTGTAAAGACAAAAAACCAAGGTCAATCAAAATTTCCTTTCAAGACTCCTTCATATATGCTTAAAAACTAAAATTGGATGTGAGAGATTCTTTAGAAATGTGATACCTACACAGTCTTTAATTTCATTTAATTCAACTCAAAGTCCTCCAGGCAAACATGTACAGCTTCATGCATTCTAAGAAGCCTGGATTTTCATTGTTCAACTTATCAAAAGTTCAGTTCACTTGTCAGTCATCATTTGACTACTTAATTCAACTGATTTTATTGTTTTGGAGAATTAGGCTTGCAGTTTATTCATGAGCAGGTAACAATGATTTTATATGCATATATACCTATATACAGATCCCATATAATAAGAGACTTACTAAATATAATCTGATTGTTCACTTCTAGACCACCATAAATAGATGAGCCTTTGGCATGTCTACATCTATCTAGCATATGGCAACTTGCCTTTAACTCTTAAAATAACAAATATTTACCAAATAAAGTTAAGCAGTACCCATTTGTTAGCTACAATGAACTCCAATTGGATGCCTTCAACAACGTATTGCAAACTAAGATCAAATATTTTTACTTCCAGCATAACATTCACTACTAGTGTGAAATTAAGGCTAAAACGTTGTTTAATCAGACTTGGTCTGAAAAACAGGCTAACACACATGCACAAAAGACAAAAGCAATGACTAATCTTTTCCTCAAACTACTACATGGACTGCTTTCATTCATACTGAGTTATGCTAAGTACAAACTGTTGACCCAAAGAGAAAGGCATTTTAGAAATTTTTCAGTCACATGACAATTTGACATGCCTGTTGATTCCCATCTCCATCTCCATTCCAGCTAAAGCCTTAAAACTTGTTACAATGAGCTCTTTTAAGTGCAGGATTAGCATATGCAAGAGGGCAATTTGTTCAGTGATGTGTTAATGCTGTGAACAATACTGAATGTGTTGAGAAAAAATTCTCCTTTGACAAAGACCTGGTAAGCCTAATATCTAAAAGCCAAGTACATGCTTACATAAATACATATATGCTCACATAAATATATAAGTAAAAACATATTTACATGCATACATGTATCTAATGTGTAAGTGTAACCTCTCCAAAGGTATACTTGGATCTACCCAAGGGCCTGAGATATTTACTTTAAATATATCATAAACATATACTAATAGACAGTGAACTGTGCACTGAATAGCTACCCCTTTAAAACTTGAGGACACCAGAGTAGTTTTGCACAGACATTAATGTTTAGTCCCAAGGAAAAGGAAAACAAAACAGAGTACAGAAGGAAATTCATATTCTCTTTTCCTACTTCAGAAGCCGTACTTTAAAGGCAGCTCTATACTCTTTTATTCCTGACTATTCAAGCTAAACAAATGCCATGGGGCTTACATAAAGCATATAGGAGGGTCTAATGAAATTCGATATAAAGAAGCTCAAAATAATGTCTTTACTGAAATGTTTTGCAGCTAAAAGGTGAGCTTCTTGGATCACTGAACTAATTGCCTTGATAAACACAGTCTGAATTTAACCCCTCCCCTTCTCCCAGATTGTTGTGGTTTAGGGCTGGGCTGACCACTAAATCCTGGACAGCTGCTCTCTATTAACCCCTCTTCCCTCCCCAGAAGGGGAAGAGAAAGAGAATAAGGGAGAGAGACTTATAGGTTGGAAAAGAAAACTAACATATTTAATGAAACAATAATATAGGATAATAATGTAAATAGGAAAATAATGAAATATATAAAAACATATATATAAATAGACGTACAATATATATATAAATACGTACAAATATATATATGTAAAACCAATATAAAATCCACACCCCAGTGCCCCACCCCTCAATGACAATTACATCACCAGAGGCTCTGTGGAGCAAGGCACTGGAAAAGTCCCAGACCAGACCCAGTAGCAGGTGGGAGCAGGATGCAGGAACTGGAATCAGGAACACATGGATCAGGATCAGAGGCAGACAAACTGGCAGAGTTCTGCTCAGACTTCGGCCATCACAGAAGGGGAAGAGAAGAGAAGGGCTGAGACCCTCGTGGTCCCTCAGTTTTATACTGAGTATGCCATATGTGGGATGGAATACCTAGTTGGTCAGTTTTGGGTCATCTGTCCTGTCCACACCTTCCCGCAGGTGCGAATATAGCACCCATGGTGTGACAGTGGCCTTGCCATGTTTATGTACCATACAAACACTATCTCTTGTAGAAGTGAGCCCTGTCTGGAAAAACATGCCCTTAGTTTCAGACAGTACAGCCACTTACAAGAGACTTAGCTGAAAAGTAAAATCACTCAATACAAAATTAGTTCCATTCAGCTCAGACTGGGACACAGATGCACACAAACGCAGGGATTCACTAGTTTCAAAAACATGAAAACCAGTCTTCCACATTTAATATTGAATACATGATGTCTGTAGCAGTAGAAACATCTTAAGAAGCAAGCTGTCAATTCAAACTTGACCACATATTTGAGTCCTACAGATGTTTTTTCTTAGAAGTCTTTTAATTAAGAGATACTTCTCTCAAAATTAATTAAAAAGTATTTTACTTGAAGAGTTTAGAATAAACTAATGAAGGAAAATGTAGGAAAATTAATAAACTCAGTTACTCATTTTAAATTGCCAAAACTAAGCGTGAATAATGGAAAGTCAGCAAAGGGGCTGCTCTTGAAGTTT